AATGGGTTTGCGTTACCCTCTGTAGCAGTGACACCCTGGCAAAGCCTCCATGACGTCCCACTGCTCCTCATCTCCCATCATCTTTCCTGCCAGGCCCACGTTCTGCAATAAACTGTTCCCACCTAATATTAACTCCACCTGGATTACAGTAAAATACAATTTTCCACCTCTGACTCAGTGCAGCAGCATGATGCAAGGGGCTGTATCAGCATGGCAGGGACTGTGGGCTGCTCTGGTGCTATAGCATCAATTTTAGTCTTTAAAAGTGTTCTCAGTCAGAACTTTCCCTTATTTGTTTGCTCGCTTTCTGCCAAGCCATGCCTACTTGCACCCATGTGTTTTAATCCAAATCTGGCCCCAGGCTTGAGTTTTTAAACCTGAGTTGTCATATAATTTAATCTGGACTGATTAGATGAGTGGAGGTGTCACCAAGACAAAGACCCAGTAAGGACAGCCCACCTCGACCTTTGCAGAGAGGTGCTTTTAGGAAAGATGAGCTGAAAGCAGCGGCCTCATTTCCAGCATCACCACAGGGGTTGTCACAGCCCGGTACGGGTACCCAGCACCCCACCTCCAATGCCCAGCATCCCACCCAGAGGGGATCCATCCTGAACACCCGTGGGAGCACACAGAAAAACGCTGCTCGTTGAAACACAGTCCCCAGGGGAAAGCTGAGATGAGCTCAGAGTGACAACCAAGCTTCGATTGAACAGTGTTGGCTGGAAAACAGCAAAACCATTGACCTGAATCCACGGGACAGACAGCAGGAGTACAGTGAAAATCAGACCTGTGTGTTTCTGATTAAATGATGCTTTCCCCTCCCAACTGGCTGACGTTGGCCAGCATGGGCTGGCGGGCTGGGTGTGCAATTAGCAGGTACATCATTTTATTATGGTCGAGGTTGGCATCAATCCAGTTCCCACGTGCTGGAGGTGCGGGTGCCGTGCCAGACCACCCCATCCCAGATCAGCAGAAATACCCCAACATTCAGTGCAGTCGTTATTCCAACGCTGTCAGCTGGAGGCAGGTACATCTTCTGGGGCCTCTGCCTATACAAGAAAATCAGCACTGTGCCCGGTTAATATTCAAGATGTGATTAATCAAAATACTCTACTCCCTGTTCCAATTATGCTCGCTGTTTGCCTGTACATCCTTTACTTTTGTTTAAGTGCAAGTGGAGTCTGTTGGAGTTGGGGATTTATGGTAGCTGCCAAGCACTCCACTCTCCAATGGCAATAAGTTATATTCCTATTATGCAGCGTGCAATAAAAAAAGGCTTATATTTATTCTTTAGATTTTTCTTTCCCAAGGAAGTTGCTGAAATTCACACAACCACTAAAACGTGGCTCCATATTTCACCGGCGATGTCACAGCAGCCACTGGCACGGTGGGGATGTGGAGGTGGCTCTGTAAGGTGATTGGGAGGAGGTGAGCATCACCTGGGTGTCTGGACTGGTTTAGCCCACTCGGGACCCAACGTTACACTGCAGAAACGAGACAACCCAAACCCTCAGTCTCCCCTGGGTAAAGGCTTGGTGGACACTCCAGACCTCACTGCACACTGTCTCCAGACCCACGGCTACTCGTAAACGGTTCTGCAGTGGGTCAGTAGCCCGGAGGAGATGCTAGCCCCAGCTTTGTGCATGTGAGTGAGAGAATAACAGTTTATTTTTAGGCTGAGCACTGACGAGATGAAAGCCATTGATCCGACCTCATAATTACATCGTTATCTGTGCCCTACGAGATAAAGAGATTTCTAGCTGCAGGCATTTTGAAAAGCTGGGCTTGAAAGCGGATAGAAGGAGGATTTATTTAGTTGAGCTTCTCTGTTTTTTAAGTGAAATGTTAAATAGTAGAAGTTTGCTTTTATTTACTTTCTTTTTTTTTCCCCAGAAGATGGAAAGCCATGGATGGTTTCTCTTCTCAGTGCAGCAGGAGAGCATCAGTGCCTTCCTGACTCCCCAGGATCATGCAGGTCACGTTCTGAGAGTTCCACAACATGTTCTTTTAATGAATTATACTGCAAGAAGCTAGGTTAGAAGAGAGGATTGTAGGATGCTGGCATGATTTGGGACGTTGGGTCCTGCCATGACCTTCTGGAGCAACATGCATCTTGGAGAGGAACTGTTTGGCCATACACCGTATTTTGCATCTCCTGATCCAGGAGCCCAACACTTTGTCAACGTCTTCAGCCCGGTGCTCATTCAGCAGGAGAGGTCTTCTCCACTCACTGATTCTGTAGCTTTTCCTCTCTGATTGTACTGGCCACTCTCCAAGACCAGCAAGGGACCTGCTTCGATATCACAAGTGCTTAGTGTGCCTGATGTCACCCGTGTTTTACAGCCCTCTCAATGACGAGCAAATCTGTATTGATTTCAGAACAACTAGAGCTGTAAACTGCTGGTCATGACTGGCTTGGCCAGTACCGAGATGAGAGTCTATTGATCGTACTGAAGGCCTAAATCTAATTAACACACAAGGAAACTGGTTGGAACAGCAGACCAATTCAGATGTTCTGAGGTGTAATTAAAACTGTAAAGCCACCTACAAAAAGCAGAACATGCAAATAATGATCCTGATCAAACACAATTTGCAATCCAAGGGCTTCCTTTTCAGAGAGGCAGAAATATGAATCAGGGGCAACAAAGGACCCTCTCTTATCTCCACAGGCTTGCTCAAAATGCCTCTTTCTCTCTTTTGAAGCACTTTCCATTCAGGACTTCACAACCAACTGTAGAGGGCACTGCCTTGTCCACAGTTAATCAAGGCAGCATCTTAATGGCAGAGGATGCTCGCTCCAGTGGTTGACCAGAGCTGGGTGGTCTCTCCACTGGGACTTCTCCTCTGGCCACTCTGGACCAGCACCGGGCAGCAGCAGAGAGAAAAAATCGATGGGAAGATCTCATTCTGAAAAACACTAATAAAATGAAGTTAAAGCTCAATTTTAAGGCTGACAGACATCTCTGGGAACTATTTTTTCAGAGGACTAAGACCCAACTACTTCCTGCCACTAAAGCTTTGGAAGAGAACAAGTTTTATCAGCAGGAAAAGGGGGATGCAACTGGCCCCACTGCTCTCAATGTGGCCGGTGATTATGGGGATGGTGGTTTGTTTGTTCTTCCACCCACCCCACCTAATATACAACCACTGGAAGTCACTGGGAGTGAGCACATGTACAGCTTCACCCTTTCTGGAAAATGACTCATGTTCTCTGCTCAAGCTACTTAGCATCCAGCGTGACACAAGCAAAGAGCTTTGCACTCATTGTCCTCAGAAGTCATCCTTCTCCTTGTCCTCTGAAGACATGCCAACACGCCCTGCAGCTCACCAGGAGCTAGCGTGATTTTTCCCCTTTTCCTTGGAGTTTTCTCCCAAAGAGGAAATCACCTCAGACAGTTCAGTCACTGCTGTGCATGTTTAACCTCTGGTTGTTTTCATGTCACTGTGTGTGAGAACATGAGGTCTTCTCCTGACCGGTGGGAGAGCTGAGGGTCCTCATTAAGAGCAGTACATACAGACACCACATGACAATTTTAAATATCTTGGAGATTTTCAGTACCAGTCATTGTTGCTGACTTTTACACAAATGCCCTGATTACCACAAAGTGGTATCTAACTTGCCATTTTGACCTTTTTGCTCCCAGATGAGTCCAGCTGACCATCAGTGGTTCTGGGGAAGGTGGTCCCTGGCCTGCAGGTCTCTCCTGGGCAATTATTCCCAAACCAACTGCAATGCCCTATGATGGCATCTCATCGGTGTAGACACCTCAAGAGGCTTTAACTGACCACAGACCTCTCCAGAAGAACCACCACTGGCCTAGCCTCAGGGAAACCACGGGTTAAACTGGCTTTGCGTGGGAGCAGCCATGGGGTTGGGGAAGGTCCACCACCCCCCAAGGCTGTCAGCCATGAGGCTCGGCAACAGCTCACGGCATTTAGGGGACCACCACCGCAATAGGTGCTACTGAAGGGGTGAGGGGACCCACCACCAAGCTGGGTGATACTGAGAGGGTCCCACCAGCAGGAAGGAGGGTGCTGAAGGTCCACCAGCCCTGGTCGTGGGCATCCTTCCAGCACCTCCTGCCCATCCTTCCCATGCCATACCTGGAGCATCAGTGACATCTGCTGCTGTCTCTGGGCATCGGCGCTGGACCCGCCACGCAGCCACACTCCACGGCTCAGCTCTGTCCCCACGGGCCCTTTTCGGGGTACACGGAGGGTGTGAGTGTCCCTGGAGAGACAGGGCCACCACCCGTGTCCCCCTGCCCAGGGCTGGGGATGGTCCCGGTGCAGCCACGGCCCGCTGCCGTCCTAGGGGCTCCCACCATCCCAGCGTGCCCTTCCCTGGGGCCTGCACCTCAAGATCTGCTGGAAATCAACCCTAAAAATGACAAAATTAAAAAAAAAAAAAAATTAAAAAAGAAAACAAACAAAAAAAAAGAGAGAAAAAATGCTCTTGGGTGGTACAGGAGCCAAAGGGGTGTTTTCTTACAGTGGTGTAACAGGAGCTGCAGCTACACGGGGGACCAGCTCCTTCTCCCCCCTGTGGGGAGAAGGGCTGGGGGGGGGGTGAAGAAGAGCACCAGGAGGTTCTTGTCTCATGGGGTGGGTTTGTTTTCTGAGGGGGACGTGTAGAAGCGCCAACACAAAGCAGCCACGACCCCACGCGTGCCACCATCTCCCCCCAGCAGCACCCACCCATCGTGTCGGCGTGAGGCAAGGGGGAACCCTTGACTGTTCCCCAACACTCACACCACCCCCGTCCCCCCCCAGGGGTGCAGGAGAGCCAAGCCGAGCTCTGCAGAGCTGGGAACCGTTCCCCCCGGAGAAGGGGCTACACTCCATCATCCCAAACTCCTCAACCTCTTGAACCCAACACAACTTCCCAGCACTCCCAAGCCCACTGCAAATTCCCCAAACCAGGACAACTGCCTGCCCCTACCAGCCCATGGCAGGATTCATATTCCCACAGGGAATTAAAGAAGACAAAAAACACCATATTTTGTTGTTTTGTTTTGTTTTTTTTTTCTTTTCCAATAGTCTCACTTTATTAGATACCACATCAAGAGGATGTTGTGCTGCATGCAGCGGAAGACTGGAGTATTTCTAGTTCCTGTGTAATATTTTCTTTTTCTCTTAATAGTTGTAAACTGCTATTTTGCTGTAAAATCACTGCATGCGAGTTTGAATGCAAACAGCAGTAAAGAGGCTTTTTTTTTTTTTTGCTTTTTTTTTTTTTTTTTTTTTTTTTTTTGCACCATTCCCAATTCATATGTGCATGCTTTATTTACAACGAAAGGAAGTCATTCAGGGCAGAAATTACCATCAGAAAAACTGAGAAGAGGGCAGCAGAGACGAGGACTGTGGTTTTGCACAATACCGAGAGGGGGACTGGCAAGTTGCACTTTATTTTTATGGGTGCAAAGACATGATTTGAGTATCATTTATCTGAAAGGAAAGCAGGCTGAGCAGAATGTCAATACAGGACACGGGTAAAGGCAACCTTAATTTAATTGTTCTGCACACACAAAGGAGGCTGGGCTGCTGCAGGTCTGGAATAAATTAAGGAATTGCTTGGATTTTTTTTTTTCTTTTTTAAAAAGTAATTTCATCCCAGTCACACATTTCTCCAACACACCTCAGAAGCCTAACAGCTTCTCCAAGAGATAGAGGCAAGGGCCATGCAAAGGTTTGGGGCAGGTCCAGCCCTCTGGAAGGGATGACAGCAGCATCCTCCAGCTGAACACTCCCCAGCCAGGAGCAGTGAGGTTTCAGGCATGGCTGCCCAGAAAACAGAGGGAAACAACCCAAAAGAACCAGGTCTGGGTCCTCCAAAGGCTCAGGCTCTCTGGGATGTTTCCCTTACTGGTGCAGAATCAAGAACTGCATGAAAGGGAGGGGAAATCCACTTTTGGAGCATCCTCCCCCATTACCCTCTTCCATGCATCCCAGCCAGAACAGCTCCCAGCTCCTTGGCCATGCCGCGGGACGGAGGCTGGGGTGATGGAAGAGCTGAATGGAGCAGAGGATGCCCACATTGGTTTTGGTTTGCTTTCCCCATCTGTGGTCCAAGGGGGGGTGTCTGGGGGGGAGAGCAGAGGGCCCTGGACCCGGAGCAGGGCTGGGGAAGGGCTGCTCTGCAGCAGCAGCACCGCTGGGGCAGCAGCCTGAACCACAGCCCTGCTCAAGGCAGAACTCAAAGCAAACCCTGCTCAGGGAAGGAGGGGAATTAAAAATAATCAAGACTAGGAAAATAACCTATTTGATTGGAAAGTGGTACAGGTGACTTGAGAACACGCCACACGCCAGCAGACTACAGCAGCGGTTGCAAGGGAAACCATGGGACAACAGCGTGAACCGGAGGGGCTGGGGTTTGGGTTTCATACGCCATGCGCAGGGTGGAGCTGACCGACACTATATTCCAGCAGTGCTACTATTGACGTTGCGATGCTTGAGGTTGTCCAGAAACAGCAAACAGTACCAAAACTGATCATCATCAGTCTGAGAGCGCCTTGGCTCTCCTGCTACCGAGAACAAATCAAACACCTCCAAACGATCATTGAAGCGCAGGTTGAAGACAGTGGTTCTTGTGCAGATTTGAAAAAAAAAAAAAAAAAAAAGTTAACAAAAAAAAAAACCCAACAAAAAACCAAACACACACAACACAAACCCCAAAGTTTGGAAGGCCTCTAACCATTCCAGCTAATTTCAGTATTTGTGTTTTTTTAAAGCAATACTCCTTGCATACATCAGCTAGTTGGTGGGAAGTATCTTCTCCCTTGGCTTCCTCCCTGCACGTGGGGCGGCGAAAGGGTAGTCGGAGGTGGCCCAGTGCCGGCCCTCGGGGTTCAGCTAGCCACTACTACACAGTGAGGATGTGAAGAGGAGGTAGTCACAAGCTTGAAACACGGGTGGGCTCCTACAGCAATGGAGCGTGCAAGTTCCTCGGGCGAAAGGAACCACACATAGCGGCTGGGAACGAACACAAACCAACCCAAATCTCGGTTTCCCTGCGAGCACAAAGTGGCTCCCTATTTCTCATTATTAGATTATTGGTGGATCTTCTCAGCAAAGGATGTACCACGATATTGCTCAAGTGTACCGAATCAGAACTAAAGCTCAAGCAGGACTCGCAGGATTATATCAGTGACACAGGCTTTAGCCTAATCACAACAACACAGATACCAGGCTACGGTTACGACCCACAAAGCCAAACAGCTTTTTCATTATTGCAGCTGAGGTATCGATATCACATAAGCAGAACGGGTCGATGCTCTGACACCAGCACTCAACCCGCCCTACATTGGGTGAGAGCACGGCCGGGCCGGTGGCCACGGGTCCCGCTGGGAGATAAAGGAGACACAAATTGGTGGTGATGGGACGAGCCACGCGAGCGGAGGCTGGAGGAACACAGAGCATCTCACACACACACACACACACACACACACACACACACACAACAGGAACGCTATCACAGCCTGCGTGAGACTAGTGAGAAAGAGGAACAGTCAGAGGGTAACTATTGCTTGACAAAATTACACACCAGGATAATTCAATGACACCTCACCCCCCCCAAAAAAAAATAAAATAAAAGGAAGAAAATATAAAAGATCTGGGTTAGTTTTCAGGTGGGAGGACAGGGCACAGAGGATGCTTGGAGGAGGCAGAAGAGTGTCGCTGCCCTGGGACCAGAGGCATGTAGCAAGGCATGACTGCACTGGAAGACAGACATCGGAGATCTACAGGGGCTTGGCAGAGGATGGGCTGGTTGGGGAGGTTGGGGCAGCGACTCCCTTTAATCACTGGCAACGTGGTTCTCATTTTGGAGGGTGTGCCAGCGTTCAATCTTCTTGTCCTTGTTCTTCAAACATTCATACCAGTGTTTCAAGCGCTCCCCCTTAGCCGTAATGCCGAGCTGACAGCCACCTGGAAGAAAGGAAGGAGAAGAGATGTCACATTCGGAGATGATGCTGATGTTCCAGGAAACCACTTCCATGGGGACAGAGCCCACGTTCGCAGCATTTCTTCCCACCTCCTGGATTTAAAATCTCATGGAAACAACCAGAGCTTTTCTGCCTGCACTGAAGAACCCCTGGGATGCAGGAGACGGGGCAGCACAGTGGGTCTGTGTATGTGATGGCCTGATACAAGCACCCAACCAACCTGCACAGTCCCACCTCAAAACTCAGCCTGGGGTTCCTCACAGGGCAGGCGACCTACACATCCCGCCCATACAACGAGCACCATATCAAGCACCAAAACCCCACCCCAGAGCGCAGGGACTTGCAGCTCACCAATGTAATCATTTGATTTTCCGATGTCGTAATCCCAGACAGAAATATCCAGTGACTTCTTGGCCAGATCACTGTGCTTTATATCATAGAAGAACTCCTGCAGAAGGAGAACACCCACATCACCCCACGTGTCCCAGAAAACTGCAGTTAAGGAATTGCAAGTGATGTCTCTGTACAGCCAGAATTCAAAATCCAATGAGAGAATATTTAAAATACACTAATGAGGAGCAAACGCCCCTTCCCTCTGGCACCTCTCCTCCCAGGATCTCAGAGCGCTGCAAACCCAGAAGCTGAGCTCACCCCTTGTACCTAAGTGGGCACTTTAGAGGTGTCCCATCAAAGCAGCACCAGCCACAGGACCCCCAGGGATGCTGGGCCCACCCACACCCCCACCCAGGGTGACACAGGGTGGGCAGCACCAGCAGCAGGGAGGTTTCGGTGTGGATGGTGCTGCCCGGCACTGATCTGGTAACATCTCCCATGACAAAGTCCTTCCTAAAAATATTCTCAGGTGCAGGGAGGGGAAAGGAGCCTGAACAAGAAACTAAACCTCTGGGAGTTCATCTTCCATCTCCTCAGCACACCATAATAATTAGCTAAGTTGATTTAATAACATAAAAATCACATCTACCCTTACCTCATTAAACTCAGGATTCAATGTTTTCTTCTTAATCTGTGTCTTGTGCTTGGCCTTTTTTCCCATGTCAGGTTTCAGCCAACTGGGGGCAACAGAAAACAACTCAAAACTCAAGTGGAAGAACAGTGTGAGCTTATCAGCTGAAAAAGCGAGCGTTTGGGCTAGAAAAAAAGCAGCTGAAGATATTTAAGGCAAAGAAATTGGTTAGCCAGTCTCCCTTCCCACCCCCACCTCCCAAAATTATCCAAAATAAATGTAAGATTAGTAAAATCCCAATTATTAATTTTTTGACCCAAGTTGTTTTGGTTTCCCCCCTCCCCCCAACCCAAGTCATGCTAAAAGAAATAGTTGTAGGTGTTTGACTGAGCAAAAGTGGGTGAACTCTGAATTTTGCTGGGGAGGAATCTGCTGAGGTTGACAGCAGGGAGTGGCTGAAACAGTCAGGGAATATGGAAAATGAGCAGCTGGGTTGGTTGCCAGCAAATGAGGGCAATTGCATGGCCAGTCAGCGAGCCTGGCCCCTGGAAAACCCAGCCAAGAATGTGTGAACGCATACAGAGATGGGGAGAAATAGGGGAAAAAATAATATATATATATACATATAAAAATAGCCCATTAGTGTTTAATACCACACAGACTAGTATAGGCAGCCAATGTCTCACCTAGAGAATGTGAGAAAAATTAGGGCTTGGGTTTTGCAGCATGACTGTGCATACCCAGAACTAAATTGTAGAGTTGGCATTAATTAAATCTATGCTGGAAGTTGATATAAAAATGGGAAGCCACCATGTTCTGTTTGTGGGAATGGAAAATATAAAAATAAATGAGAGACACTGAGAAGGAAAACTGCTTAGTTCCACTCGGCTACAAAAAAGATGTGCAAAATGTTCAACACAAGAGTTATTGAATGACTTTTAGGGAGAATACAGGGTTTTTTCCTGAAGGCAAAGAGAAAACAGCAATGAAAACCCATCCACAGCCACAGCTGTGACCGGGAATGACTGCAAGGTCCTCTGTGTCACAGTTTACGAGGTCTGAGTTCAAACAGTCTTATTCCCCCGTGTTCACAGGAGCCACCCAACAAGCGCCGCTCCCCCTCGGGGAGACGTGCTCCCTGTCATCATCAGCCCGAACCACAGCAAACACCACTGGCTGTATTAATTAAGCCAACTTGTTTGCAGTGGAGACATGGCACAGGTCAGGGATGGCATGATCGATCCCTGGGCTCCCGCCACAACCTCCACGTGGGTTTATGGGGTGGCAAGCAGGGAACGTGCTCTTTGTCACACACGGAGGGGCATCAAAGCCTCCCCACCCTGCAGGCATGGTGGGTCAAAGCCAAGGAGAAGGACTTCATGTCCTCCAGATCCACACTTACTGTTGGGTCTGTGTGTTTGGGAAACTCCGGGGAGTAGATGGGCTGGCTCAGCCTCACCTAGCTTCAACCATGGCAGGGGGTCTCAAGCAGAGCATTACCACCTTGCACGAGCATCACTGGTGGGCACCTCAGTCCTGTGGGAGGTCTCGAGGTGCTTAGGAAACCACCTCCTCTCTCCAGAGGTTTTGGAAGGAGGTCTCAGCCCATCAGCCACTGCCCAAGGACAGCGGGTGGCTCCATGGCCACGCGTTGCCGCACCACGCCAGCCCCAGCTTCCACTTACAGCTTAACGAAAGGGTCTGAGTAGCCATTGGCATCCATGGCTGCTAAATGCACGCAGCGGACGATGCCGACGATCAGGCCGCCCTGCTGGGTGCTGTACATGAGGGACACGAGGATCTTCCCACGCTCCTCCACGTCCCCGCCACGATCTACCTGCAAGAGGAAGCGACCAGAGAGGGGGACACGGGGGCTGAGTGAGGAAGACTGTCAAGTGCAGAGCAGATGAGACAAGATGGATACGAGGGAACCTTGTATCCCCATGAGAGAGGGAGGAAGGAAAAAAAAAAAAAAAAAAAAAGAGGAAAAGGGGCTCATACATGAGAGATGCTGGGTGAAACATGCATGGAGCATGTCATCCTCCAAGGATCTTACCTCCTCTTCGTATAGTGCCATCCCACGGGATGAGCCGGTCGTTCCAGCACGCTTCATCTTGGATGAGGAAGGGAAAAAGAGAGCCTGCCTTGAGTGACTGCAGCTGGAAGAGGCATCGTCCTACCTAAAAAACATGCCCAGGAGCCCAGCCCAGCTCTCTTGCTGGCCTCAGGAGTGGAAGGGGGCTCAGGTACATTCATGTGCTCCATCAAACTCCAACTCAGCAGACCCAGCACCTTACCCACAGCACTGGGGAGCAGAGCTCAGGGATGGAGCAACCTGCCCTCTCCTCCATGGTTGCATACATCAGCATGGGCTGGCAATGCCAATAGATCTGTGGCCATTGGGAAGGTCCCCAGAGTCTCTTTCCCTGGATTTCCACCACAGTCTTCTCTCCTGGCCTTGATATGTCACATCAGCCCAGACACAGGTGGGAATCCAACTCCTAAAGATGCCCATGAAGTCAGGCACCTACAGTCCTTGGCTGGTTCCACCTCCAAGCTCACCCCTAACTCCCTCACATGCCACTTGTTAGCAACATCAACATTAACGAGAGCAGAAAGAAACTTCACGTAAACTTACTGGTATTACTCTCTCCAAGCAGATGTTGAAGTTCTTCTTCTGATTGGCTTTGAGTTTTTTCAAGGAAACTCTAGTTTCTCCAATAAACTCATTGTGGCCAAATTTGTCTTCATCACACACAGAGATCCTTAAGGAACAGGAAAGGTGAACGTCAACCAGGCTGGAGCAGTACCTGACACTTCAGAACACAAAACCACTCCTACAAGGGCACTGCTTGGGGGTGGGCAAAGAAAGTCCCATCAGAGTCTCCATCCATCTGGTTCTCCTCTGACAAAAAGTAGTCAGAAAACAGAATTTCTGTTTTGTGAGAAAAATTTTAAAACATTTTAATACGTGCTCTGCAACAGGGTAAGAAATCAAAAGGTGTAAATTTCCCGTAGGAAGGAAATGTCAAAAATTTTTAGAGACATTTTTGCTGGGACACAGACAAATCACATACAAATATGCAGTATCCAAATCTCTATGCTGATAAAAATAATGGTAATGCCAATGAACAACAGGGTCAAAACGCTTTTCTTTCTCTTTTGAAGAGGACCACCAAAATAAGTATGTTCATGGGAAGCACGTTGGTGTTGACCAAAACCTCTGCATTTCCAGGTGCCCTACCAACACCTGCACTTCACTGCAGGTGCCCTCCAGAGGAAGGCTGGCTTGCGATATTCCGTGCGAGGAGACCTGCAGTCCCCATCCCACCACGCCGCGGGATACCCCAGCTCCTCGGCTTGCCTGAGGGTTTTCCTTTGCATGTCCTCATCTGTGATGCCATGGTACACCAAGGTCTCATTCCATATGGGGTTACGGGTGTTGCGCAGTGTCTTTGTCCTCAGCTTATTTGACTACAGCATCAAAACAAAACAAGGGCGTAATTACACCCCGACCTTCTCCCCACCTAAATTTTGGCTCCTGGCAGAGGAGTGTAAATTAGACGCTCCATCACTTCTGGCTCACAAGAGGTGTTTGATGGGGCTCTGCAGGACATCACCACTGCCTGCTGAGGCTGTCACACCGGTGAGCCATCACTTCCAGGTGAGCATCACCAACCCAACAAGATGGACTTTTACACAAGCACCGGGGACTCAGTTGCCCACAGTGGGCCAGGGCACCTTCACTAATTGGCTTTCCTCGCTCTCTGGGGTCTAGTCCCTCAAGGACACTTGTACAAGAAAAAGTTGCACAGGGCAGGCTGTGCAGGGCTTGGGTAACAGCTCTTGTGGTCTAAAGGAGATGACAGCTTGGGAAACGAGGAGCTCTGTCACTTATTCATGGGTCTTCTACAGACATACGTGCAAAATAAAAAAAATTAAAACAAAGATCAGTAAACATGAGAGCAATAGAAATCAAAGCAATTCCCAAGATCACAACGCCTTGGTTTACTCTCCGCACAAGACCACAAAGTCTCCACACAAAAAGTAAACCTGTAACTATCAATCCAGTGGTTTTCTTAGCAGTTTTTTCTCTTGTTTTACACTCAGTTCCTCTGAGCAAAATCCAGCTGCAAGAATAAGCTTTGCAGCCCCCAAGCAAAGACCCAGCACCCCTTGGGCACCAGGCCAGTGGTGCTCATCCCTTCCTCAAAGGTTGCCCCACCAAGACCAGCTTAGCTGGGCTAGGGACTGAGATTTCCAGGGCTTGCTTTGGTGGAGGGGAATCAGAGTTTACTCTTCACAGACCTAATGTGAACATGCTGCAGCTTCAAAGCAAACAGATCACTCAAACTCTGCCAATAATGAGATTGTGTGTCAGATGTTTTGTGATGCATTAACAGTGTCACTTCGTCTGGAGATCCCCTCCATCCCTAAGCAGTTCCCTGTCTGCAAGATGAGCTCTTCCTTGGGAATGAGAGAGCATCTACAAGCATCATCACTTTTCAGAGATTCCTCCTGGGTAAAGCAGCAGCAGTGAGTGACTGCGTGGAGAAATCAAGGGGAAGAAGTCTGACACAAGGAAGGGACCTCAGGGCGCTTTGAGAAATCTCTGCTTGTCTCCAGCCCAAAACACACCCAAACGAGGCAAAGCCTCACCTTGCTGGCTCCAGGCAAGAGGTGCAGTTTGACATAGGGATCCGCCAGGCCGTTTGAGTCCATTGGTTTTAAGCCCTAAAAGGTAATAAAGAAAATATGGTGCATAAATCCTCCTTAAGCAGAGCCAGGGAAAAGAAAAAGCCATCCATGAAGCAACTCAGTAAAGAGAAAATGGGTTCAGCAAGCCAAGAAACTCTTTGTCCCGAGTAGGCATGGGTGCCACAACTGCTGAAAAATCAGATCCACTCAAGGAAAAGCCCCACAGATCTCTCCTTCCCAGTCAGGCCCAGCAGTGCCAGTTGGGCTAGGCTGTGTCTCCCAGGGGAGCAGCCTCTGTCATGATGTTTCCATCCCATCACACCGAGGGGAGCTGGGAGCCAAATGGACTTAAATCAGTGAAAAAAGGGGAAAAGAGGGGACTACTTACTTTGGCCTTGATGAGGGTGCAGTGCAGGGAGCTGTTGTCCTGGTCATAGAGCAGGCTGAACTCCAGTGCTCCCAGCGTAGCTGACAGCAAGAGAGGAGGAGAAGTTGGAAATAGCACCTCGTTAAAACCCCAGCCAATGACTGTGTTTAATCAGCCCTGATTAGCAATAATTAGAAAAATCTGCAGTTCAAATAGAAAAGCCATTTAATCCATGTGAGACTGCGCTGGCATCAGCCAAAGTGCCACACACAAACCCAAGCAGATTCACAAGCTCTGGCCATCAAAGCTTCACAAAGGTGGGACTGCCCAGGGAGGGCAGTTTGGGGCTTTCGAGCTGACTTTAGTATTCACTAGGAAAAGGAAGATGTAACCCTACAAACCTGTCTCAGGAAAATGCCACCCCAGGACCACCCCGAGGTGTTTCAGCTTAGGTGGCCAACATCTCCTCCCAAGGCTCAGCGTTTGGCCCCTGCTTTGACATGTTTAGGAACCAGCTCACGCTTGTCTTCAGGAAAAGATCACAGGGATGAAGAGTTAGCACAGAACCTCAGCTGGGTCCATCTGCTCCTGTCCAAGCACGATTTCCGCACTCGCTGGTGGCCCAGAGCAGCTCTTCCCATCCTGAGTGGGAAGAGGCTGGATAGGAGTAGCACTGCCCTGCCTCAGACACTTGCCTTAATGAAGCAAATTCCCTCATTAGAGAAGCAAATGACTGAACACCGAGATCTCACAGCGTAAAGGTACTGAAGCCACCAAGCCTCTCCTACAGACCGGTCTGGCAGCGTTTCTCACAGCGACGGATGCTCCGATGAAAAGAAGCAGACACCACCAGGACTCAAATTTGGAAATGGGAAGGTCATGAGAGCACAGAGCCTAAACCAGCAAGCACTCAGAGCTCAGTAATTTGGTGCAAAACCAACTGAAGATCCCACGAGCTGCTCTAAACTGTCTGAGCAGGGACAGCCTGCGAGGCCCTGCCCTGGCTCTGAGCCCCGTGGGGAAGTAACGCTCCCCGAGTCACGGTCCCACAGCCACCGCTTCCTCCAAATCCCAGGTTTCCCAAAGAAACCAATCCCTCCCCTCCAGCTGGGCACCCCGGGTACATACTGCCTTCATCAGAGTCGTAGCTATTGGCATCCTCCTCCTCTTCCTCCTGGGGCGGCTGTCGCAGCGGGGCGGCAGGCGCCGGCGGGATGGCAGGGGGCTGCGGGAAAGTTGGGGGCTGCCGGGCTGGTCTCTCCTCTCTGGCGGGGGGCACGGCGTAGCCCCCTCCTCGCTCCTCCCTGGCAGCAGCATGGGCTGGCTCTGGGGGTCCCAGCGGTGGGCTCGCTGCAGGAGGGACCCCGTTAGCCCCCTCCTCGGTGAGCTCTGCCCCCCAGCCCCTCACAGGCAGCAGAATTTTACCTTGCCTCTCAGGGAACCGGCCGGCCACCCCAGGACCTGGTCTTCCCGCTGCTGGTGGCACTGGGGACAGAAGTAGAATTACCAGGGCAGTCACCTGGGTGATGCCCTCCATCCCTCTCCCACCCCAGCACTGACACTGTCCCTAAGCGTGGCAGGGGGGGTTCCCTGCCCATGATAAGGCATTGGGGTGTCCCCCCTGTAGGGATTGAGCATCCTGGCCGCATCCCCATCGCATCCTACCTGGGGGTGCTGCTGGACTGGGAGCAGGACTGGGGCCAGCAGTGGCTGGTGGCGGTGGCCGCGGGGCTTGCAGGGAGTTGGTCCTCTTCACGCCTGCAAGGAGAGGGGAGAATCAGCAGGAGAGAGCTACAGCCAAAATCAGTCGGGGAAGAGCAGCCAGAGGCAGTGGAGAGGAGAGAGGTTTGACTGATGGATGGAGGTGGCTGAGATAACGGCTCAGCCCCACACGTTTTTGGGGTCAGTGCTGCGGGGAGCAGGAGCAGCCCGGGGTTGAAGCAGGGAGCGTTTCACTAAGGGGGACCCCACACCGTGCCGATCCGCCTGCAACAGAGGGAGATGGTGGACAGGTGGAGCAAGGAGGATGGATGCAGTTGTGGCCAGGCACTGGTCTGAGATGGAAGGTGAACAAACCCGTGAACATTGCTGCGGTGCCCAGTACCCCCCTTGCACCAGCAGCAACACCCCAGGACCACCCCCCCGGGGTGCACACATATTCCAAAGCAGCGAGGGGGCATGGGTGCACAAGGGTTACCCACCCAAACATGAATTAAAACACTGGTTTCCCCTGGCCAACCCTGAATGCCTCTCTCCAGCTAATACCCAACTATCCTGCCACCAAATATTCCTCTCTCCCCCAAGGAATTACAGAGGACTCGGACATTTTCCAGCCATTTTTAGCTTCACCAATTAAATTTGCACGCTCAGCTCCTAGATGAAAAGAGTAGTCTCTGCAAGCGCTTTTGGAGGCACCTGGGGAGGATCCAACCCTGCTGAACGCTGTCAGCCATCCATTCATATCACAGCCATTTACAATAGCTCGGAGCGCATCAAATTTTCACAAAATAAGAAACGACATCCCCAGCCAGCAAAGCACAGGCTCCCACAGATAGGGCTGGCCCATGCCTGCTCCTTCGGCAGCATCTCGTGGGGCACATGCCCACCCCGGCAGCGAGGCAGGGGCACAGCAGCATGAAAAATACTTCTCCTCAGGGTCTCAACTCAGTTGTGTTTCATCCCTGCTTAAAATTCGCCTGGTAAGTGCAGAGCCCCACTCCTCTCTTCACTTCCAACTCTCACATTGTGCAGGGGGCTTTTCAAATTCGCGGCCTTCCCCCTGGGCTGTAAGATGCCCCTTTGCAGGGAAAATCGCTGCAGGAGCCTGCCTCTCCTCCCTGTACGCTGGGGAAGGGATGGGGATCCCCCTCCACACCCTCCCCCGGCTCCCACCAACACCCCCAGACCTCCCCATCAGCAAATCCCCCCCGAGCAGCGTCAAACAGCGATGTGAAATCCCTCCGTCTCACTTATTGAGGGGAGACAACCCTCGGCCGGCTGCCGGCTTCGTACCCCCCCGAGCCCCCCCTCCTTCCGAGCAGAGGCGGCGGCGGCTCGGCTCTCACCAGGGCTCCTGCTGAGCCCGCTCTCGGCAGCGTGGTCGCGGCTGTCGGTGTCCCCGCCGGCGTGCTCGCTGCCGCACGGGCCCAGCCTGCCCTCGGCCGGTTTGCGGCCGGGCACCGCGTAGCTCCCCCGGGCAGCCGCCGGCACGTCGCTGCCTGCAGGGAAAGCGATAAAAGCTTCAAGTGAGGCTCAGCACCCCGGTCACCCCTCCGTCCCCAAAGCTGGCCCTTGGGCGATGCCCAGCCTGGGCGTGAGGAGGAGGAGGAGGAGGATAGGTATGGCTGCTGTGGCATCGCACCCAGAGCGTTAGGGGCTTCCAGCCACCTGGCACCTGCGGGCTCCACACCATCACACAGTGATTGGAAAAGCCCAAAGGGCACTCCAAAGGACGTGGCAAACCGTGGGGACAACTGGAAACACGAGATCCCCGTGGCAAAAGAAGGCCAGAGGCATCCATCAACCCACTTTCAGCACCCACCAAACCCCTAATGGCATTACATCCCCATAGTCCCCAGGCTGGGGGGGATCATATTTTCTTTTTGCTGATCATCTTCCATTCATTAGGGAGACAACGGTGGCAGCTGCCTTTGCCTCCCGCTTCCATCCACCCAGCAGCAGCCATCCCAGCAGACAAATCCCAGCCACTCGCCCCAGGGTGCCGAGATCGCTTCGCAGTGATAAATTGCAACCCACGGCTGGGATGGAAAAGGTCTCGGCGCTCACCTGGCTTGTGCCGGAGGCACCAGGTATAAATCTTTGCTGTGACATAAATGGGATGTTTATCCTTGGCTGGGCTCTCAGGGTCACCGGGCGCAAGGAGAAAGCGAAGCGCAACAGCTTGCAAGTGAGGGAGAGGATGAGGGGGGTAAAAGTGCTGCGGTGCTGAAGAGGAGGAGAAACGAGCACCCACAACCAGGAACCCCGTGGTGCAGAAATAGCGATGCAATAAATAATTTTCCGAGGGAGCTTTAGGAAAATCACAGGCATGTCATGAGCGTGCTGATCACCAGGAGGGAGCTGCGGAGCCTGACAAACCTTCCCCGGCTCACAGGCGAGCCGGAGGCTTAATAAAAGCAGCCTGTTGTGGGGCCGGGAAGCTTAACGGCACCAGCTACCATCGCGATTAAATAGTCTTAATTAAGTGGTTTCCCCAACTGCTGCTGCGTGGGAAGATGAAGATCATCACTCAGCATAACCAGGCTGGGCACAGCCCTGCCAAGGCTCAGCTGGAGCCCCCCACCAGTGTTGTGAGCTGCAGCAGGAGCTGTGGCTCAGCCTGGGTACCACCCCCCCAAGGGGTACCCCCACCCAGAGCTCGCCCCAGCACCGCCACCCAGACACGCAGGACGCGTCCCCAATGCAGTGGGTGCTGCAGGGTGGGGGGAGCAAAGCTGTGCCACCCAGCGATGCCGCCTGCCCGCAGCCCACACAACACGGAGCAAAGCCCCAGGCAGCCAGACTGGGAAACCAAACACAGCCCCGGGAACCAGCCAGTAAAACCTCCTGCACACTGACGGCTAGCACTGTCACAAGAGACCCTGGGCTAAAGGAACAGTGGGACGGAGGGAACTGCTCTGGCAGGGGTTGTGTCCAAGGAAGGGGAGAGGAAGAGGAGGGTTTGCAGGCACTGGGCTGCTCCCAGCCTGATCACTGCCCAGCTGGGAGCAGCTGGTGCTGGAGGAAGGGGTCAGGTCACCTCACGCCTCGGCGCTCTGATGCTGAACTCCAAGAATGCGTGCTATTATTCAAAATTAGCTCCCAGCAGTGTAGCTGGTCTGGGAGCAGTGGGAGCCCTGGCAGCAGCATCCAGGGGGATGCAGGTCCAGAGCAGCGCAGGGCACGTACGGGGTTCAAAAATCTGGGGGGGAACATGGCTTTGCTCCTGTAAGCAGGAGGCAACAACTGCTGCTGCTTTACACAGTGCTCCTCAGCTGGCATCACTGTCAAACATGATGTAGGCAGAACCATGGGGGGCTGTGAGTGCTGGAGGGGGCGAGGTATAAGTATAAAAAATAAAAATTTAAAAAAAAAAAAATAATACTGCTGCATCCTCACCTTGCTCTGGTACCCATGCACAGCTCAAACTTGGGCATAGGGGAAACCTGATGCGGGCTGAGCAAAGCAGCTCGGCTGCTCCATCCCTCACAGACAAGCCCCCCGCAAGCCTCCTAAAGTTTCCACAGGAGGTTTTCTAAGGACTGCCATTAAATAACCAGGGGAAAAAAAAAAAAAAAAAAAAAAAAAGGGCAAAACATAACACACCAAAACACTTGCCAATCAGCAGCAGGAAACACCACCTACGGAGGCAATTCTGCTGAGCGCTTTGGATTGCAGCGTTTCAGCCCCGGCGTGTGCAGTAGGTGGGGAAGCCCCAGAATAGCTCGGTCCCTGCGCGGTGGGTGGCAGCAGCAAGGAGAGGTCCTGCCGCTGCAGCCTCCCGTGGGAAACCCTGCGGGAAAACACCGCGGGGCAAGGAGGGATGGAGGCAGGGAGGGAGAGAGGGGGCTTAGCACAGGGAGCATCACAGGGGAGGGTGAGAATGCCGGTGCTTACCATCGGAGTCCTGCTCAGCCGGGGGCCTGGCATCCGCCTGGCCTTGGGGGGCACAAACAGAGCGAGAAGCAGTGAAGCTGCAGCCCATCCACCCCGCCAACACCATCGTGGGATGGGCTGCCACTCTTTCCCCACATTCCCTTTCCGTATTCTGATTTTTTTTTTTTTTTTTCCCTAGTCTTCTGCATCACCGTGTTCATGCTCAGGCACTGCATGAAGAACGCCCAGCCGGGCACCCCCAAATCCCCACCGCCCAGGGCTGCTCGGCTCGAGGGTGTCCCTGCAAACCCAGCCATCCCGGCTGGGACAGCTCAGAGAAAGCCTCAGCAGGCAGGGAGGGCAGCGGGGTGATTTCTGCACCCTTTACAAAACAGGCAGCAGCTACACGACTGCTCCGGGTGCTTTTTGCTGGGACTTGCCCTTGCAAAAGATGAGGAGGAGACGCAACGCCTCGCTGGCAGGACCCCCCGCGCCCCTCGCAGCGAGAGAGGGGGGCAGCACCCACTATCACCTACCTCGGGTGGGTGCACGGGAGGGGAGTTTTGGGTCCTGGGCGGGTGGCTCCGACGGGCTGGGCTCACTCGGGGCTTGGGGTCCCTTGTTCTTGCTGATGGGCATCGGCTGGGGCAGCACTTGCTTGGGCAAACCCTTGAAGAACCAGGCGCCGGAGCGCTTCCACACCTGGGGGGTGCAGGCAGTGGGGTGGCACCCATGTCTAAAGGGGGGTGCTGGGTGCAGACTCGGCAGCCTTCACCCCCCCACACATCACTGGGGTCCTCCTCCAGCAGGCAACATGAAGGACATGCACCCCCCATACCCCCCTGCCCTGCAGCCCATCCTGCTAATTAATTAACTCTTTGGCTTTTGCACGCTGCAGGTGGCAAGGAGCTGATCTCCAGCCACAACAGCCTCTTCAACCCCAAGACTTTTTTTTCAAGAAGGAATGAATGAACGAATGAATAAATAAGTAAATAAATAAATAAAAATGGCATTTTGTATAGAAAGCAAGATCATGCTATAAGAAGCAGAGTCAGTTAGGTGGGGAAGGTTTAGTGGTGCTGGGGGACAGATGGGAGCATCCCCCCGTTTGGAGCTGGTCCCATCTCGGAGCTCTTGGGTGGGGACGGTGCCCAGGGTGAAATTAAGAGCAGGGACTGTGTCCCCACACCAGTGCAAACACCCAGGGCTGGGAAGTGCAAACGCCAGAGGTGCCGGGCTCACCTCCCGCTGCTCGCTGCAAATCTTGCAGAGCCAGATGGCGTGGGGCCGGCTGTTGCTGGTCTCCACCCCGCACTTGGTGCAGACGTTCTGCAGAGAAAAACAAAGTGCCGGGTGACAGCGGGGACGCCACGGCCACCGCGAGGTCCCATCGCACCAGCCCCACCCCTCACAACCACAAGGTTAATGAGAGTGGGTTAACGAGAGCGGGTTAACGAGAGCTCTCCCTGCACAAACATCAGTGTTTGCGGAAAACCCCGGGGATGTCCAGCTTGGTGCCACACACAGAGGGATGGCGGGCAATCAAAATCAAAAGATTGATTTTTTTTTTTTAATTTTTTTTTTTTTTTTTTTTTTTTGCAGTGGGGGAGGCTGTGTGGGTCCGAGGTGCAGGGAGATGCCTCACCTTCTTGCAGTCCTCGCAGACGACACAGGCGGACCCCCGCGGCCCCAGCTGCTCCCCGCAGAGGATGCAGCGGTTCACCCCGTCCCCCAGCACGCTCCGGCGCATGTCCTCCAGCCGGGTCATGAGGCGCCTGGCAGAAAGGGGACAACGGGGACCATCAGGAAAGGCATTGTGCACCCGGGATGCGGGGGTCCCGCTCCCAAGAGGCAGCTGCTGCCTTTGGTCCGGCCGCTCCTTTTCCTGGGGCAGCTTCCAGCAGAGCATCTCCTCTTCCAGCTATGGGAACGCAACCAGGGGAGAAGACGCATCCCAGGGCGCACATCAGAGTATTATATTCCCCTACAGCTTTATACTGCGTGACTATTAACTTCCCTTGGTGCTGCCAGAGAGCAGATACCAGCCCCAGCTCCCACATACACACACGTGCGTAAAATCCATCCAAGTCAGCACCTTCACACAAAGCGGTCTGGCACCAGAGAAGCAGCTTTTTCCCAAAAAATCTTCCCCCCCCACCCCGCCCCCCAGTCCCAGTGACTGCCTGTGGAAGAATGGCGAGAGGACATCTCGGAAAGGCTCTGGTGGGAGGACTGAAGGAATTAATTTGTTTTCTCATTTTCTAGAAAAAAAATGCATATAATTCATGGAAATTCTTAGCCCTTTGAGTAAAATGCCAAAAGCCCGCTGGAGAACAGGTTCTAAAAACACATCTGTCTACTGCAAAGGTAAAAACCAAAACAGTCAAGCAACTTCTGAAAAACACCAGCGCTGGCAAAAGCAGTCTGCAAAGCAGGACCAGGAGCGAGCTGCCTGCCGAGCACCTGAGAGCTGGCGGCAAGTTGTACGCTCAGTTAACCCAGAATCCTAGCCCTAAAAATAGCACTAGAAGGGAAAAAAAGGATGCATTACTTATGCCATTCAGTGAGGAAGGAGAAGGACTGAAGAAAGGGAGGAGGAGACCCAAGCCCACCGCAGAAAGCAGCAGCCCGCCTCGCCCGCGGGGCCGCCATCCGCTCCCACGGCAGCCTGACCCAAATCTGACAAAGCCGCTAACACGGCGCGCCATAAAAAACACCCGGCGTTTAAAAGGCATTTTCCCGCATGCCTGATGACAGCTTCAGACTTATGGCAGCTCGGCTGCCAGCACCTCTGAATCGCTCCTCACCAAGCTACGAGCTCCCCTCGGCACAGGCTGCCCCTGTGGCTGATCTCCGGACGGCACGGGGAAACGCAACGGCGTTATTGTACGTGGGTGCTTGGTAAAGGGATAGCAGCAAGAAAGGGGGGGGGGGGGGGGGGGGGGGGGGTGGTGGAAATAAAGCATTTCAGAACACACAGTACAGTTCAAGTGCCCCATTGGAAACTCGCTGCAGGCATCGGGAGCATCTCGAAGCCCTTCAGCAGCCAAGCCTGGAGCGGGGACGCGGCTCCGTGACTCAGCACACCTTACCCGACCGAAGCCGCGGTGTTACAGCATCTCGTTTAGGTGGAAGACATCAGCTGTGCTAAAACCCACTGGAGAGCTTTCCACTCCTCCGCCCGCAGGGGCTGAGCTGCCTGGGCTGGAGGGCTGTTGGTGTGGAGGTGTATCCTGACAGCTATTAATGAACTCGAAGCCCACCTCCAGCGAGGGGACAGGAGAGCTGGGCCGGGCAGCCAGCAGGGCCAGACGGAGCCGGCAGAAATCGCTATTTTCACAGCTACGGTGTCACCAGACAGCAGATGGACGAGCTTGCGAGTTCCTTCAGTCTTCACCACCCAAAGTGTCGGCGGTGACATGATCATGGGCTCTCTAATTCTGCTTCTCACCCTGTCACTGACAAAGAACATCGTCAGACCACAGCAAGGTGCCATGACGACTTTCCACTTGGCTTTTGCCGGGGAAACTCTCTGCTAGCCTAAAACTCCCTGCTCCAGCGTTACTCCTGAGAGATGCGGCTGTCTATCCCTGCCCTTCAGCATCTGCTTACTGCTTTGCAGATGATCCGTAGGTGATTTCCTACAGAATAAGCCGGCTGCTAGAGCCGCAGTCCGCCCTTGGTGCCTTCCCACACTCCGCGGCCGATACGCCTTGCTGCAAACACAGAGGTCCCGGGGATTTCAAGATCTGCATCATCCCATAAACACCCAGCCAGCAACGAGCGGCATGCCAATTAAAACCTGGAAACTGGCTGTTCCCCAAACGTTTCTTATTTAAATTAAATGAATCACACCACAGTTGTTCCCAGCCCACGTCCCACCACATGCAATGCAGGGTCCCCAAGAAGAGCCCCCCAACAGCAAATAATCAACAACATCCAGCTTCTGTTGCAGCATATTGCTCCCACTTCAACAGAGGAAACATTTTGGTGGCAATCCCTTTATTTTCCTAGCATCAAAGGACATGTACAAGCCCCAGATCTTCTCCAATTTCCCCCCACTGTGCTGCAAGAGCTCTGCTCTGAGAAGCAGCTTCCCATTTGAAATCTGCAAGCCCAAACAAACTTATTATAGAAACTAGAACAAATGGCACAATCAAAGGGGGGGGGAAAAAAAAAAAAAAAAGGCTTTGCATTTCAAAAGATTCATTATTTAGCTGCAAAAATCTTTCCCAGTCTCTCATTTACCAGAAGCAGCTTCTTAAGTGTTTTGGTTTTTTTTCTTTTTTTTAAACCAGTGGAAGAGCTTCAGTAGTCAGTACATACACCTGTGGCACCAGTTTCAAGCAAAGCACATTTGCCTAATTAAAACATCCATTCAAGTCAGAGAATTCCAAGTTTTCAAACACTGCTGTGAGAGGATGGCATAAAAAGTTAAATTTGAAGTCCTGGCATGAACCTGGCAGAAAGAGGGCAGGACCTGGGAAAGGGGGTATTGCACCAGGACCCATGGGCTGGGAAGCTCCTGATTAAGGTGATAATTGGGAGCGAAAAGCCCAGGTTCCTCTTTGACTCCATCTAGCACCACTCCCCCAGTGGGCCTGAGCCCCCAAGCCCATGCTGTTCTCCCACCTGTAACTGGAAGGATGCCCTGCTCTTGACAGGTAGCAGCCAGGAACAAGCTTTCTGCCTTCCCAAAAGCTTTTATTTCCCCTAGACACCATTTGTTTCTCATTTTTATTGCACATAAAATAGCTATCACTCTCCCTTGCATGTGTCTAGAACTACAGCAACATGTTCCTTACTATCATGGCCATCCCTCTGGACTCTAAGACTAACTTCAAAGAGCAGGAAATATGTTTCAAATCATTAAAATAGGGGGGGAAAAAAAACTGAATAGAGGAGTAATTGATGCCGGTGGCAGGGAGCTGGCTAAGCCTGGTACCCGGGAGCATCGCTGCTCCCAGAGACAGCCCAGCAGCGAGGGAGAGCATCCGTCATCTGCCAGAGAAATACGTATTAGTCACTGATGGGAGCAAGATACAAGAACTGGGCGATACGCTATATCTGAAATGCTTAAAATGCACCTGAGATTACAGCAATAAACCAGTCCCCTGATAATATAATATCTGCCTGGCCCCATAAATATGGTTGGGAAGAGAAAAGCGAGCAGTCCCGGTGCTGTGAGGAGCCCTGCAAATATCTCCCATGACTTCAGGCAGGCAGAGAGTCCCCCAGGGATGTGGCAAAGGGTGCTCGCAGGGCTGAGGGACCATCCCGAGCTGGGCTGAATCCTCGATAGGATAGAAACCCACATCACTACGGCGTCAGCATTTGCTCTAGGAGCCGAGCAGTCCAGAGAGGGACGGAGAGTCACCGGCGTTAAGTGCAGATGATCTCGGGGAAACAAGACTTAACAGCGGGGCAGGCACGTACGAGCGTGTTGTGTTTAAATATTCATTGTCACTCTGCAGAAATGAATGGCTAAAGATGTGCCTAATGGGTTTTAAATCGCATCAGGGAGGACATTGAGTGCAGCAAACAACAAATTGCTGCACGGGGCAGCAGGACCTGACCTGTGAGGAAGGACCTGAGACGGGACACTGGGAGCTGGGTGCTCCCCAGCCCCACGCGGGAACAGCCACGGCCACTGCTTAGGTGGCAAAAAGAAATTCAACACAAAGGAGGTCACAGAGTGCCTCCAGAATTAAGCACTGCCTTGCCTCCATGGGGAAATCATGTGCGTTAAAGGGCTGAATATTAAATTAAGGCTAATTTTAATGGTATAAAAGAGACAAGAAAAGAAGCCAAGCTACAAATTAAAGAAAACATAATTAAAACCCGGATGAAAAATTAGAAGCAATTTTCTTCCCTGACAAGTGCACAGGTAACTAAATGTAAAGCATCATTTCAGCTTTTACAGGTCAACTTTCAAAGCCCATCCTCCGCTGAGAGCCCTCACCATGGAAGGAAGGTGCCCAAAGACACCCAGGGGATTCACACATTTCACAACATCCCACTTCATGCTCGTGCATCACCCCAGGTGCTGGCTGCCTCCTGTGATGTGTTACAAGAGGGTTGTCACTTTGCAGGTTCATCCCAGTCTCAGAAATAAGAGGAGGGGGTTTTTTAGGAAAAAACAAACAAACAAAAAAAAAAAACAAAACCACACACACACCACGAAAATTCAAGCATGTGAGCTGTCTGCTGTCTTCTGGCCATGAATTAACTTCATTTCTTCTAGAAGCTGTCTGCCATTCCTGTTTGCCTCCAGCAACTACTCTGCCCTTCCTGGCCGCTATTTTTATTTTTGTGTTGTCTGAACACGAGGAAGAAAATACGAGACTGTGGTCCCGAGAGACCATCTCTGCTTCTGGCCACCACGGTTAATGACTTAATCCCCTGTGACTTCAGCCATCTGCTCCAGTGCTGTGCATGTTTCACCCCAGCAATAAGCAGCCAAATTAAAGTGCAATCCTGCTTGATAGTTGGTGCTCTTGGAGGAAAGGTGAGAGGCTCAGACCCTCAGGGAGACAGTCAAACCATCGCACTTTTGGAGGGGACTGGAGGGAAGGGAATAGCTGCTCCCAGGCATGGGCACGGCCAGATCCAGGAGCGATGTGTCATGTCACTCCTGGGACAAAAAACGGCTCCACGCCGCGAGGCGCTCTCCAGAAACAGCAGTTCCCAATTTTGGGCTGTTTAAGATATTTTCTTTGATGCCAAAAGCACAATGGACCTCATTAGGCAGCAGAGCAGGCTCGGTGGGTTATTGATGGCACCCAATTATAGGTGCATAACGAAGCCAATTAGTGCCTGCAGGTGCTTCTGCATCAGCGAGGAGGGACCGCAGCTGGAGCACCGCCACAGCCAGAGATGGCACAGAGCCACTGCAGGGACCCCCAAGCATGAGCCCAGGCCAAGCAGGGAGGGAGAAGGGACGAGAATGGATCCATCCCTGCCACAGGTCCGCTTTGCCCCCCACCTTTCAGCCCCTTGTGCCTCTAAACTAGCCCAAAGGATTATCCTAATCCCCAGGCAGTTGTAAAGTCCTTCATCAACTCACACCCAATGTGCGCTCGCTATATCACTGTTTAAGATGATTTCAGCTCCTATTATCCTTCTATGTGCTATGAGACAACAACCCAGCCAAAAAAAAAAAAAAAAAAACAAAAAAAAAACCACACACCAAAGTGCCCCTGTCCTACAATCCTCATCAGCACCCAGATCACGTATCCCGCAAGCCTCCATCCACCCCTGCTGCTAAAAATACTGTTTCACTAGATTAATTTGAGCTGGGTTTGACATAAAGTCTGATTCCACAAACATCTTCTCAACAAGCAGCATCAATTTGTTCCCACCCTGTCCCAGCCGGGCGAGGCAAGGGACTCGTGGGACAGCAGACATGGGAGAGGAGACACGAGAGGGCAGGAGATGGGTGGCACTAAATCAGGAAGGACTTCGAGGCACGAGGAGGTTCATTTGCAGCCAGCACCCAGCTGTAGGCTTCATAATTGCTCAAGTATTATATATAAAGCTCAAATACACCCCCTCAAACACATCTACTTATTAAGACAGCTCCAAGTATTTACTGCATGTTCCCCTTTTGGAAGGCACATTCGGTCCATGTAAGCTATTCCTTATATTAAGCAAACCCAGGTTTTTAATGGATCTTCCTTTCCCCCTCCCCACCCCTTACAGGAATAGAAAATCCCAGAAAAATCACTGAAAAAAATCAGGCTTTCCTGGGGCATCTCCCTAGAGCAGCCTGTGCAACCGAGGGACACTGTCACAACCGCTGCATCCCTGCCAGAGGCCAGCCTGGCAAACCCGGATTATTTTGTAATATAAGGAGCTATTCTGGATAACATCCGAGCAGCTCCTGAATGGGTGATTCTGTACCAGACTGATATAGACGCTGTCCCATATTTCTGTAGCTGCACATCCTACAGCTCTTGTTGTGCAAGCCAACAAACACAAAGGAGCTGGCAAGGCTCCTGCTACGCCTACACGCAGGAGGCAAATCAGCTGCGACTGCACATCCGCCAGCCTTCCCCTGTCCTACTCCGAGTACAGCACGAAGTCCTCCGCCCAGCTTTTTCATGAATGAGGATGAGAAAACCTCCTCCGGCTCGCCTAACGAAGGTAAAAAGGAAGGTTCCTGCAGGTTTGCAAACAGCTGCAGGAATGCACAATGAAGAAAAAAAATATATATATATAGGTATATTAAAAAAAAATATCTTTCCCCCATCGCTAAGGTTGGTTTAAGCATAATCCAAAGTGCATCACATTTGAGAGTAATTTTTAGAGGGCTGCAAATGGGCAAAGCTGGCAAAATGCTGTTTGTAAGCACTTTTTGGGAATGAATCACCACCATTCATAGCTACTTTCACCTGGTTCCTGCCAGAAAGCCGGGAATGGAGAGCGTTGCACATTGCAACGTGAGGCAGTGCCAGTCAGGGACCCCCCCGAGCCCAGGGGAGCAGCACATCCACGGAGCGCACGCCGAGCCCAGGCACTGTGAACAGCCACTACCTGCCCTAAGCGGTTCACAGAACTGCTCCTGACAAATTGGTTCTAAAAACGAGTAAATAAATCCACCACTTCAGAGGCCACCGGCTGCAGCTACTGAGGAAGACTGCGTGCTGCAACTGGAGCACCCCATGGCTGCATTGCAAGCGCACACTCGATATTTAAGTGATATTAAGCAGCTGGAGTGATGGATTAAAGCTCCGGCTGTGGTGAGAGTCTCTGTGGGCACATGTGGGTCCTCCCTGGGCCTGAGTATTTTCCTTACAAAGTGGAAAGAAAAAAAAATTTTAAATAAAATAAAATAAAAGCATTACTATGCTTAAGCTCAGCAAGAATAAAACGTTCTTCTGTAATGAAAAAAAGCAGGATGCCTCACAAACAGGATTACAGAGATCCCCTCCAGAAAACCAGCCCCAGAGCAAGCCAATACTTAATTATTTGCATTATTTTGCCTGGTACCTTTGCCCAGGAAGGGTAGAGATGCAGTAAAAGCAAACGCAGGCTCTTCTTGCCCCCTGCTCCATGCTGGGTGCCTCGGAACCAGGGCTGCCCCCAGTGATCGGGGTACCCCACCATGGATGCGCTTGGGGCAGCCCCAGTTCCCCCCAGAAGCTGGTCCCAGGCATTGCTCAGACCTACTCGGCCTTGCAGGCAGCTCATTTTTTGGGGGCAGGAGGGATTAACTGCCGGGACAGGCAGCTGGAAGGGGTGAAGGATCTATCTGTGTTCCCAAAAGAAGACAAAACACTTTTTGGTGAGGTGTGGCTCTGCTTGCGCTGACGGGCGCTCAGGCTCAGCGCTGGGCAAGAAGCTTCACCCCAGGAAATGAGAGACATAATTAATGATCCCTTCTGGACCAAAAAAAAAAAAAAAAAAAAAAAGAAGAAAAAGAAAAATTGATGAGACTATAAATTCTTGGTCCAGAACACAACGGCAGCGGCACACCGAGCAGCTCCCTCCCCTGCTTACAGGTTCCTCCTGGCCAAGGACCAACGCCAGCTCAGAAAGATCCCCCGCAGGCTCCCTTTCAGGAGAAACACTGCAGTGCAGTAGCTGCTGGCCAGGAAAGCAGCCAAGCGAGCGCCTTCCCCCACGGGCCCCGGCGAGGCTGGGGGTCCCCCCCGTCCCGCCGCCTTACCCGATGCGCTCCTGCTCCATCTCCTCCATCTTCTCGGCCCGGGCGATGACTCGGTTGATGATCTCCTTCTCCTCGTCCGTCAGCTCCTCGCCCTTGCGCTGCCGCTCGGGCTGGCCGCCCCGCGCTGCCCAGCCAGCGGGGAGCCTGCGGGGACAGGGGGTGAGGGGGCCAGGGCTTCGTCCACCCGTTGTGCATGCGCGTGCACACGCGTGTGCAACCACACGTGCGTGGGGGGGATAGCCGGGCACCAATCCCCCAGCCCAGGAACGAGGGGTACGGTGCCTCCCCAACCCCCAAGCTCTCTTCTAGCCTGCAAACAGCCCCCCACCCACCGGGTGGAAACTTTTATTTGCATTTTTGAGAGGGCTCCTACTGTGAAGGGGCTCCTAAAACTTGTTTCGCATGGAAAAAAAAAAAAACAAAAAACAATTTCTTTTTCAGAGACATTCTCATTATTCTCATGTGAAGCGTCAACTGATGTGGTTAATTCTGCACCCTGCTCTCTGCCATGTAACACCAGGTTTGCCAGCGAGCTGCGGTACCGGGGTGAGGGCCGCAGGAATGGGTGGTTTTTTTGGATAAATTTCATTAAACATGGGAGTTTTTCCTCTCCTAACATAAATTCCAAAGATCCTTTTGCACAGTGAGTGCAGCCTGAGCATCAGGCAGCTTTAACCTGGTGACATGGTGACGTCTGCCACTCAGCCTTGCAAATTAGCAGGCACCAGGGCAATGCTAACGAAGGAAGCAAAAGACAAACGCCCCTCCTCCCCTCATCTTTCTGCTCATCTAAAGACCTTTCCTGGGCCTTTTTCCCCCTGGGCTAAGCAGACCTGCACAGTTTTAAACCTTAAATTCATTAAACCCATACGCAATGCTTCCCAAAATTAATTGGTTTTTTCTTGCATCCAGAGCAAGGTTTTTCCTGCTCTCTTCAGACTATCGGAGCAGAAGGTAAAGAGCAATAGGTCAAAAAAAAAGCAAGCGAGATACTTACTGCTCCTTCTCGCTGCTGGGAGGCACAGACAAAGAGAGGGAACAAGGATTGATTAGGTGAGAGAAGGGGCAAGGACAGCTCAGCCTGGGTGCTCCCCCTGCCTCGGGGGTGACTGTCCCTGACAGCATGTCCCTCTCCACGGACCCCAAAGCAGGATGGAGCAGCAAGCTCCAAACATGAGCTTCACCCAGCCCCTGCATCATCCAGGCACCCAAAACCAGCACCCACGGGTGCTGCCACCTCCCAGCCAGCCAGATCTGCAGCGTCACCCTGCCCGACAGCCGCATCGGGGGGTGTCAGGACAGACAGACGGGGCTCCTCATTGGCACAGGGGCACGTGCACACCCGCGGGTCTGACCCCACCACTTTTCTCAGGGTGTTTAGGAGGCAACACGGCAAAACGTCCCCATCCCACCAGCACAAACCCAATTCCCAACGTCCCCAGAGGAAGAACTGGGGCGGCTGCACCCACATCACCTCCCACTGCCCGGGGACTCTCCTCCCTCCCGCATCCCCCAGTTCCCCTCCTCTCACCTGGCCCGGAGGGACATGGTCCTGTCGCTGGGGCACATCCACCGGTCAGAGCTGCCACCCACCACCGCGTCGGTCATCGCTGGCTGCTGAGGGGACCCAGGGACCGAGTTTGGGCACACCACCGGCGAGCACTGACTCAGTCTCAATCACTTGGCTCGTCTGCCCGGGCCCTCAGATAGCAGCGATGCTGATGAAGGGAACCTGGTGCTTTCAGCCAGGCTGTTGAGAAAAAAAAACAAAAAAATCAAACAAACAAAAAAACAAAACAACAACAACAACAAAAAAAAATCACGCTGGGTAGGGCTTTATTTTTGGCATTAAGAGGAGCGGGAGCAGGGAGAGGAACAGGAATGTCACTTTAGTCACTGTCTTGATATCGTGTATGAGACGCAAGAGCCTACAACCACCACTCTCCCAGGAGGGCCATGCAGCTGTGCTCGGCACGGATGTAATTAATGAGATACCTGACCTCACATTAATTATGAGGCTTCAGAGTTGAGAGGGAAGAGGATGTTTCCATTTCAGAGAAAAATCTACAAACTAGGAAACTTTCTCCCCACAACCCAGAATGTCTCGCTCTCCTCACCCAAACCACATTCCCCCTGGAACAAAACTCCTCCTTTTTCATTTTTGTTAACTCAAGTTTTTGCAAAATGAAACCGAGAGGCACTGAAGGAGGATGTGGCAACAGGACCCCAACACTGTCTATTCATCTCCAAAAGATTCACCAACATGGGGACCTCTTCAAACCCCTCTCCTTTCAGAAAAACTGACAGCTTTTATTAAAAAACAAATTGATGTAAAATTCAGAGCCTGAGAGCTAGTTTATTCCCATTTTCTGTTTTGTTTTTTTGTTTGTTTTTTTTTTTTTTTTTTTTTTTTTTTACCCCTCCACCCATTGCCCCTACTCATTGTGTGGGGACAGGGACTGGATGGCAAAACCCAAGCTGATGCCAACCAGCTTCCCCCAAAGCACAGGGATGGATCCATTCATCCCGTAATCTCTTCTGGGGGAAAACCAGCACTTTTAAAACACCACAGTGTCCCCCAGCCAAGGAGGGGGGCCAGGATCCATCCTCCTGCACAGCCTGTGGGGTCCCAGGGATCCCGCTGTGGGTCACTGACACCCCTGCACCGCGCTCAGGACCAGAGCAGAGGGTGCAGCTCGTGAGTCCACGGACGGCATCGCCCATGAGAGACTGAGACCCCCCTTTACAGTCATTAAGGTGGAAATAATAGAGAAAAAAGCAATCCATCCACGAAGGGCTTGGCATTGCCGCAGTGTTGGGAGCACAGGGCACCGAGGAGGATGCAAATCACCCCTTCGTTAGGACGCCCTGCAGATGGGGGAAGTTTTTGTGAGCCCAACTATTGCCCACCCACGGAGTTTTTCCCCACCTGTGCAGAGCACTGAAGTGGGGCTGGCATGGGGTACCTGCTGGGACCCTTACGTGGCAGCAGCTTCCCTCCTGCACTGCTCACAGCCCCTGCATTTGAATTGCTCCCTCCTGCCTGCAGCAGAACTAAATAAAATAAAATAAAAAAACAAACTCAGAAAACCCCAACAGCAGAGTCCAGCCCACGGGCGATGAGGCTGCTCCCAGCCCGGGGACCATCCATCCTCCCAAACTGGTTGCCCTGGGAAGATGCAGCACGGAAGGGACTGCTCAGCCATTCACAACCCAGCACTGAAGCCAACATCCCGAAGCTGCCAGTGGGTCCCAGCAGGACCAGAGCTCAACACAAACCCCACAAATACACCTTGGCAGGGCACAAAGCAACTCCAGCTCTCAGCAAAATTCCAACAGAGGCACCAGGGATGTTGTCCTGAAGAGATGGTGGAAAACAGGAGCTTGCAAAACTGCCCCACTGAAATCACAAACCCTGAGCTATGAAGAAATGTGCAACTATCCCAGAAAGCAGAAAAAAAAATATATATATATAATTCTCATCCTCCACTTTCTGCTCTGCAATATTGCAGGGGTTTCACCATCACTCCCTGAAGAGTCAGCAGAGATTTGAGGCTCACCTTTGCTTCACTGCTAACTTCCAAAAATATATATATATTAAAAATAAAAAAGTGAAGCATGTGAAGTAATTAATGCTCTGCTGGTTTCATACAGCGACTATTCCTGTGCCAAACCAGAAGGCTGATTGGCAAGGTCAGTTAAATAAGCAAATTGTTCATTTAAGTCCCCACGGCCACCTCCACAATCTGCACTGCAGTAGCAAACTGCTGCTGGGGACGTAGGGTCCCACTGCGGGCAGGAGCTGGGGGTCTCGCAGGGCTGGACACAGATTTAACAGGGTGCCCTGGGAGGATGGGCAGCACTGTGCCACTAGCACCCATTTTTGGGGTGATATGGGCAGATAAGGGACTTGCCCAAGGTCACGTGGAGCAGGAGCAGCCACCCCGACCCCACAAAGAATACGGGGCGGGGGGAAATCAGTGTTTTTTTCCCTAACAAAAAGTGTAAAGCAAGAACCAGCACTTCAGCTGGCAGGGAGGAAAACTTCTTCCCCCAACTAGAACTTTCTGCTAACAGAGAAGCCATGGGTGTTTCACTTTGTTGTGGATGGAGAAGAGCCCGGGGATGGCTCCTGGAGGAATACACAAGCCTTTCCCTCCCCTTATAAATAATAGATTTTTGAAGATCTGCTTTGCATTACTTCCAGCAACTACTCTTGCTTAGCCTAATGCTTGGCTCTACATTTTTAGCGCACGGGAAAGAACAAAATAACAGCTTACGGTGGCTTTTCTCCCCTTGCCAAATCCTCGCTCACAAGCAAAAGGCTGTGGCAATCTGATTCACGATCGATGGGATGCAGCAGCATTTAGTTAATGAAATGGAAATATCCCAACCTAGAAGGATGCCAAGACCTTCCAGGGTTTGGCTGTCCCCAAAGGGTCCCGAGACGTGCTGCCCTCGGGGTCTGCCGTCAGCTGGGGTGCGAGGAGCCCTCTCGTCCCCGCTCGATGCCGGCTGCTCGAGATTCCCCGGTTGCAGGTGGAGGCCGGGAGGAGCGAGGCGGCAGCTCCCGCCGGTGCGAACGCGGCCCGTCCCGGGCAGAGCCAGGAATAGAAGCGAGGTCTTAATTTCTGGCCTTAAGGAAGAGCCACATGACTTTCATCACACCGCTCCATTACTTCGGTGTGACGGAGCCCGTGAATTTGATCATGCCTTCATAAAAAAAAAAAAAAAAAAAAAAGGGGGGATTGAACGCCTTCCGCCAATCGCTCCGCCTCTCCCCGAGCCGCCGGCGCTGTCGTCCCGCGCGCAGACGTCGCTCGCCCCGAGCCAAAGAGGTGCTGAGCCACGGGCCCATCGCCAGCACCCAAAAATCCGGGCGATGCAGCGTCAGCAACCAGCAGGTCCCCCTCACCCTCCACCAGCCCTGGGCGGGCAGGGAAAGGCGGCCCGAGCCCATCCTGCCCCAGGAGGGACACGGGGCAAGACCCGAAGCCACCGGTGCCACCAACAACCGGGCATCTGCAAAAAGACACCAATCCAGATCTGCCCAAACACACTGGTTTAGCCACCTGGAAATAACCTACCAGGCTAGAAAACAGAAAATACAGTATTTTAAAGACTCCCAGTGCAATAATCAGGTTTTTATAGTGAGCTCAACATTTCACACTTGGCGCTGCCTGCAGAGATCGTCTCCACCAGCAAAGACACTGACACAGGCAACCTATTTCTCCAGCCTTCTCAGCTCTGCAATGCAGCTTTCTTAAATATTGAATAAGTCTGCTGCTCTACACCACCTGCCAGTGCCAATGATGAGGTAATTTTTGCATTGACAAAGCCTAATGTGATTAATCTGGTTTGAAAGAGCAGGTTTTAAAGCCTGTCCATTCACTCGGTGAAAGACACTCGCAGAGCATCGGTGGCAGCTCGTCATTCACCACCAGTAGCCAGACCCCAAACAAATAACCCAAACTGCTGCTCGGCTGCCAAGCGAGAGATTATTTCTGTGTGTCATCACCAAATGGGAGGTTTTGAACTCGAACAGATCCAAACACCATCTTCCGTCAGGCTGACGGGTTTTCGCACCAGCTCCAGGGCCAGCCCGGGCACAGGAGCGGATTTACACTCCCCAGTTGGATGGAGGAGCTGGGGAGGGAAAAATAGGGTACGAGCGTGCAATTGCCTGATGGGGCTCTCCAGTACCACACGCAGGGAGAAGGGGTGAGTATTTTGGGGTGGCAAGGACCCAGTGGGAGCCCCCCAAGCCGAGCAGTGAGAGGAGCAAATGCAGAAGCCGGGAACTGTCCCTCCTCGTCACTCAGCACACACACACGTCCCCAAACACCATTTTTAGCTGGAGCTCTCTCCCAGTGACATTCGCCACCATCTCACAAGTCCCTCAGGGCCAGATCCTGTCCTTCTCTGTGCCTGGCACTGAGGATTGCTGTGCAGACCCCAGGTCCCAAGCAAAGACAGACACTGCACACCCCGCGTCCAGCTCTGCCCCGAGCATCTCGCAACACCTGGGCTCTTTCTTTCCCAGGAAAAAAAAGAGTTTACCCAGTCCAGGAGCCACACACACCCCACAGCATCCCCTATGGGGTACATGCATGGCTATAGGGGTCATGGAGAGCTGCCTGAGCAGACAGTGGGGTGCTCACTCCCCTCCAGGATCAGGCAGGATTTGGTACTACTGGATTTATCTGCAGAGAGGGGAATAAAAAGGTGTAAATATCCCCAAAACATTTGCCAAAGCAGCTGTGTAATGCTGCAAAATAACCAGTCGAGCAGATGGAGGGGCAGGAGGGCAGTCCAGCCCCACAGGGTCCCGCGCACCAAAACTCCCTCGAATCCCAATGTCCCCGAGCTTCCCGGCTCCATGCTTTGTCTCATCTCAGATACAAATCGTTTTAGAAAGTTCGGGCAAAATTAGGCAAGCTGCTTTATGGATGGTACTTCAGGAAACAGCCCACGTTTGAGGCTTTCCTTTTTTTTTTTTTAAAAAAAAAAAAAAAAAAAAGGAAGAGGCAGACCTCAGCTGGCAGAAATGCAGGGAATTGGCAAACTGAAGCTGCTCAGCCCAGAGCTGCCCGCAGACACCTGGACAGGTCTGGCATCGGGGCACGGGACAGCAGAACAGTCACCCCCGTGTCTCCAGGAGAAGCACTGAGTGACCCACAGCCGTGGCAGCACGTGCTGCCCACGGTCCCACGGGGACCCATGCACCCGGCAAGGCTGCTCCGGTGCGAGGTGGGATCAGACCCCAGGGCACAGAGCCCTCCGACCACAGAGGCCAGGTGTCCTGGAAATTCAGCTTTTGGGAAAGACCCAGAACCAGCAAGCCCTAAACAGGGGGTTGTTGCACCCCTCAGCCCCAAGCCAGACCCTTATGGGGAACACAAGCCCCACAGTTTCCCAGGCCAGCTTGGCACTAGTTGGTTAATTAAGGCTAAACGTGGCCCCGCAGGTAGTGGCCGCAGTCCACAGGTGACAGCGATCCACAGATCAGAGCCATACAAGAAACACAAAGCAATGAAAGTCCTGACCACCCCCTGGTTCCCTGACCCCACAGCAGCCCCCGCAAGCCCACCCACAGCACCCATCCCCCCAGCACCTACCACGCTGCTCCTGCCAAATCCACACTGCAGCCCAGCCCAGCCCAGCGCAACAGGGCCCGGAGACCCCCCGAACGCCAATGCCTTTGGTTTGGCCAATACCACCGCTGCCTTTAAATTCACATAAGGTGCCAAGAGATGCCCTTTTTTCCCCCCCTCCCTCTTAATTCCCAGCTCTCCATCATCCTCCAAACATCCATCCCAAGGCAGCTGAGCAGCAGCGCACAGTCAATTTTATTTAAGCAGCACATTGACATTTCCGCCAGCAGCTCCTTCACACACTGTTATGATGCTGTCAGGAGGATTTACTCCCGTTGATTAATTGCAGGAAAGACAATGGTAGAAAAAAAAAAAATTATATATATATATAGCTTCTGGGTTTATAGGACTTACTCGTGGCTGCTAGAGCTGGGGGTCTCCGGCCAGGCGATGCCCGAGCGCGCCCCAAGCCCACCCAGTGCTATTAAAGGCAGCAGCGGCGTTGCCATCGCTCCTCTCGCCGCGGCAGAGCTGCTCCAAAAGCTGCTTAGCAACAGATCGCTGCACCACACCGGCACATCCATCCGGCACGCTGCCCTCGCTCCGGGCACCGGCAGGGACCAGAGCCACTGGGATGAACTGGGCCCATCAGGGATGCTGGTGCTGGGACCCCTCACGCACCAACAGCTGCAGCGGCTGGAGGAACTTCAGCAACGTGAAAAAGGTTGGGAAGTACCTGCCAGCCTGGGGATGCAAAGCGTGCTCGGAGGTCCTGCTCGCTGCCACGGGGAAGTCTCCCGAAGGCAGTGACAGTCCCCACAAGACGCCCCAGCAGTGGTTGAGGAGCAATAGCCAGGGGTGGGGACATACCCCCCATCCCCAGACCACAACCCTGGGTGGAAGATGCTCAGGGCTGCAAACCTGCCCTCCTTGGGGGGCTGCAGGGATGCCCAGCCAGGGCAGAGGAGCCACGGGGAGCCAGGCACCCCACGATAAGCCTATGCAGAGGAGCAGGGGGGCCCCAACACTGCAGCCCAACCCTCCCAGAGAGCCAGGGGGAGCCCAGCCCCTGGGAGAGAGGAGCACACAGCCACCCAGCTCAGCACCTGCGCCACCTTGGGAGATGCTGGGCTCCCAACTTTCCCCCGTCACTCCTTTCTTCTCCCTGCACCGCCTCGTTAAGCATCTGGTTCCACACAGCCAGACCTGGCCCCCCATGTTGGGGCCAAACCAGAGAGCCTGTACCCACCTCCCCGGGGCTGGAGGAGAGCGATGCTGCTCAAACCCACACAGGTACAGACAAGGATGGAGCCAGGGCATCTTCCAGCACATTATAAACCATCAGTATTTAGTTCCAGCCACTCCCCAGTCTTAATGAGGACGGGGGAATTAACCAGGCTGGCTTTGGGGGCATTGCCCCTGGGAGCAGAGCCCTCCTCCCTGCCCAGACCTTGAGCACTCAGCTGGGACCACCTGGAGTGATTCATTACCTATTATCGCTAATTGGCAATGACTGCAGTGACATCGTCACCTGTCTGCGGGCTGGAGGAGGGCACTGGCGAGCGGGCAGAGGGTTCTAGCTGCCAGCACAGCCCTCAGAGGACTGTCTCATTTTCAGGTCCCAGAGAAAGTCCCTCAAAACTTAAGCACAAAAAGAGACTCCGGAGCCGAGTCCCCCTCACCCTTCCTCAGCAGTTTTTCTCCACTTGCCCTTTCCAAAACTGGGGATCATTTAACACCCAGCACACACGTATCCACACAGCCACGGAGGCACAGCAGAGTCCCACAATGGGCTCCCGGGTTTCACCCTCACTGCAAAGGGTTTTCCACACACGCACAAAAAAAAAATGTGCTTTTTCCACATTCAGCATGCTTTCCGGCTCTGCTCGGGAGCCAGGGCAGTGCAAAAGCAAGACTGCGAAGGAGGAGAAAGAGGCTCAGCAGGCTGGAGCCAGTGCCAAGCAGGGGATGGTATTTGCACCCAGGAGGGGTGCTCCTCGTGGGGTTGGAGGGTCTGATGCAAGAGGGGGGGTTGCTGGAATCCCATCCCGCAGACCGGGCACCCAGGTGATGGCAAACAGCTCCCGCCGCATCGCCTGGATATGGCACGGCTCTGCTGGAGGCGGCTGGAGCTGCGGGGCTGCTGCGGACCAGCATCGCCCACCCAACAGCACCCTCCCGGGGGGGCTGCCCAGCAAAGCGCCCACAGGATGTCACAGCAACCGCCGTTCCCCCCCGGGGTGGGGCTCAGACCCACAGCTCCATGTACCCCGGGCTGATCCCCACGGAAGGGCTGAACGCAGATCTCCTGAGTCAGCCCCTACAGCAAAAGCGAGCAGCTCGCTAAATCCCTACCAGATGAATGATGCATTATCAAATAAAGCCCAGTACCACAACATTAACAATATTTATTTTGAGGCTAAGCTGCAGCCTGGGCTTTTGATACCAGTAATTAAAGCAAATGGTTCATCTGTTATCATCTTTGCATCCCTGGAGCCAACTGGCTGTGTTTTGAAGCCCTGTATTATCTTTTTTTTTATTGCAGCCTCCCGGGAGGAGGCGAGGGGGGGGGTGATCAGGCTGATCCACACACAGTTTTTTAGATCCCAGGAGCGGTGTAGCACAGAGCCCAAAGCAGAGCCACGTTCAGGGAAGCCACTTTGTTCAGAATAAAATGAAGAAGTGTTAATTGCTCAAAGACAAATTGCTACTCCGGTTCAAACCTGAAACCAGAATTATTAGAAAGACAGCAGCAAGAAAGGTAATCAGGTGTCCTCTCAGAAACAGCCCATCCCTGGGAATAGCAACATTAGCAGCCTCAGCCTGTTTTCTGAGGTGGCTGGTTTTGCCTCCAGGAGGTTTCAGGCCACGACTCCAAGTAGCTTTTAATGCCGTTTGCAACACTTTTGTCCTGGGAAAGGAGAGGAGAAGGCATCTGCCAAAGCCCTGGAGCCAACCCTGAGCCGGGCAGCGATGCCCTTTTGGAGTCCGAACCCGGGAGCAGAAAACCCAATGCGCCTTCTCAGCGTGCCCCCCGCTCCGGGGCCAGGAGGGTCTCTGCACCCCACCGCTGCCAGGCACCCAGGGATGGAGCTCAGCTCCCACTCCCACCACAGCTCTCCTTATTCCCACTCCGGGAAAAGGGTCAAGAGACAATTTAAAGGAGCTTAAAAACCTCTAAATGCCCAACGCGCTCCGAAGTTGCCCGCTCCACGGCAAAGTCCCAAAGCAACGGCTGGAGCCAACCCTCCACCGGCAAGAAGGTGCCGAAGGGGCGACGGCAGCCCCAGACACCAGCCGCTCCCACCGGCCTCCCACGGGAGACGCGGCCGTGGGGATGTCACCCACCGCCCGCACAGCTGCGGGACGCTGCAAGTTTCCCCAGCCAGGCGAGCTGGGGCGGGGGGGGGGCGAGAGGATTTAAATTAGCCCGGATCCTCCGAAGCGGGGACCCCCCACTCCCCCCTGACCAGCGTAGGGGAGAGGAGCGGCGAGACACACACAGCCCCCCCACCGGCTGCCGCTTTCCCCACTCCCACGCGTGGCTCCAGCGTCGCGGGGGGCTCCGATCCCGCACCCCCCCTCCCCGCCTTACCTGGGCCAGGGTCCCGCGGGGCCGTGGCACCGCCGGCCTCTCCCCGCCCCGCTCTGGTTTAGGCTGAGCTCTGCTGGGCCGGGCTCAGTTAAGCTGGGCGCAAGGCGGCTCCGGCGGCAGCACTGCGGAGCGGAGCGGGGAGGGGACACGGCCGGGAGCCGCCCCCGCTCCGGGGCGCAGCCCCTTTGCAAAGCGGGGCCGGCCCCCCCCCCGGCTCCCGCAGCGAGCTGCGGGGGGGGGGGGGGGGGGGAGCTAGAGGCAGCGGTCCCCCCCTTCTGCCCTGCCCCATCCCCTCCCCATCCCGCCCCCTCTCCCATCCCATCCCTCCCCATCCTTAAGGACACAGCAGTTTTTAGCGCACATCCCCCCCCACAGGAGAGACTTGGCTTTGGGCATCTCCCCCAGCCCTGCCCCCATCCCCCCCCGCCCCCGCCAGCTGCCCGCATCAGCGTCGCCCCACCCACGCGTGGGGGCCCGCAGTGGGGCAGGCGCTTCCCCCACGCCCTCCCTGCAGCATCAGCCCCAAGCTGGGGCAGCCCCCTCGGGGTTTTCAGCCCCCTGCACTCGGGTTTGAGCAGCCCAGGGGATCCCACACCCTTGCCCAGATTGATCCTAAACCCCCACCTGAGCCCCACGCACAAGCGGGGAACACGCTGCCAAGCTCTGCAGTGCCTTTAGCACTACCCGGAGCTCCAGCACAGCACCCATCCTGCCCGGGGATTGGGAGAGCTGGTGGTTTAGAGCACGGAGGGAACCCCGACCCTGATCTGGGGCACCCATGGCTTCATAAACTGAAAGGGGCAGCAGCCTGAACCCACCCCCAGGCACCACCTCGAGCCCCCCCAGCCCCGGGCCAGAGACCTCCAACCTCCCTCCAGCTGCCGCGGGGACCCCGCAGAGTTGGGGGGAACTCAGCTCACAGATGGGACCGAGCTAGAGCCGGGCTGGGATGGAGCCCAGCTCTCCACCACGTTTTCCTGCCAAGATCATCAGCTCCAGCAGCCCCATTTTACCCGCTCTTGATATTTGGCAGGGAGCTGTAACACCCTCGGGCTTTCAGGACTTTACAGAAGATCTCCCACCGGGTGAAGCGAGGTGGACGGATCATCTGCCGGCAGAAATCAGGGCTGGCCAGACACCTTGGCACGAGCAACTGAGGAGGGAAAGTTAATAAAAAAGTTTGATAAAAGGATGCTGCGAGGTGAAGCCAAGGGGGTGAAACACAGCTCCGGGCTGCCTCTGCGAGCAGGAGACCAACGGGCTTTGAGCAACACTCAGCCACGGCAAAGGATGCGATGGGTGGGGAAGGAAAGTGTCTCATCCCTGTAGCTGGGTTTCACCACTTTTATATAAACTATTTTTAACCAGTTGCAAGTAAGCCTTTCATTAAAATCCTACTTTTGGGGGATTTAAAAAGAAATCCCTGAAGAGACAGAAATCCTTGAGGGATGGAGCACGTTCCTGCCTTCAGCAAGGAAAGTATTCCACCACTTGAGGCTGAATGTTGATAGGCATTCATCTAGATGCTTGATGGACATCTTCTCTTCCAGGCTCAACTATGTATTTTTATTTAGTGAAAGAATGCCTTGCTTATGCAAAGTAGTTGGAGAGACAAGCACAGTACTTTCAAGCTGATGTGTCTTGACACCTTCCTTGGAGATTCACAAAAAGAAACAGCATGTGCAGAAATTTGAAAATCAGATCTAAAACCCGCTTTCCAAAAAGGAAAAAAGCAACACCTGCAATTCTCTGTTCTGAATACCTGGCACTTTCACTCCTCCTTTTTAGCCCATCTTCTAAAAATAAAAGAGCGGGTTTGATTTTTGTCGAAATATAAATAAATTTTGGCAGTCTGGCATCTCCTGCAGCAGATCAAAGCATGGGAGTTTTATTTATTTATTTCCTCTCAGGTTTATTTTTATGCTCGCCAGCCCTCTAATTCTCAAGGATTTGTTATATTTCCCCTTGTGATCCGACTCAGCACCCAGCCAAATGCTCAGTTCAGCCCCAGAGGCTTGGACGGAGCCCATCTGCAGCACTCGGCTGCAGCCCCGCACACCGGCAGCTCCTGCCTGCACACTCAAGTTCAAGTGCAGAGGCAAAAATCCTGGAGGTTACGAGGGCAGAGCAGCATTTCCCTGCTCAAGGTCGGAGAAGCTCAGGCTGGATGTACCCAGGTCACCGCTGCATCGAGCGAGCCTCCATCCTGCGGTACCTACAGCCTTGGGTTTATTACCGTCAGCAACCCCACTGATTTCAGTGGAAGTAATTGAGAAATAAAACCAAGTTCATGGCTACAGACAGCCCCAGGCATCAGATCAGCACCAGAACCAGACCTGGAGGCGGCGGGACCGGGCTCTGCTTCACCTCCAGTCATCTCCCATCCTTGACTGTAACCTGTGCTGGGGATGGAGCCGGGAATGGAGACAGGGAGGGAGCTGGGAATGAGCAGGGGATGGAGCTGGGGATGATGAGGGGATGGAGCCAGAGATGGAGCTGGGGATGGAGCAAGAGATGAGCCAGGGATGAGCTGGGGATGGAGCTGGGGATGAGCCAGGGATGAGCAAGGGATGGAGCCAGAGATGATCCAGGGATGAGCCAGGAATGAGCAGGGGATGGAGCCGGGGTTGGAGCTCTTTCCATTGGGACGCACGGCCACAAAAGCACAGCTTGATGACAGGGTGCTGAAAACACAGCCGCACCGGCAAATTAAAGCATCAAAAGCACAGCACGTGCCATGCTGCTGACTCAGCTGTTGCCACCCTTGCACTGCTGCTCAGATGCTCTGGGAGGAAACCTCTCCCCTTATTTTATAGCCCAATTAGTCGCAGCTAATTGAAGTGCTGGACGGAAGACTGGGAGCAGTGAGCCAGTGCCAGGCCGGGGTTATCCCTCTGATATCTGCAGAGTCGGGTGGTCCAATGGAAAAAGGAATATGAGCTTTATAAAACATTTTTTCTTCAAGGTTTTTAATTAGGATTAAACGTGTTCCAGCAGAAATATATAAGCTCTCAGAGCTCAAGCACACAAAAGCTCTGAATAACAGCTGCCATTGCCAACACAGGGGAAAAGAAACCAGGAGCACATCAAGCCCTCCCCTCGCAGCCACAGCTCCAAGCCCAGTTGCATGAGTTAAATTGAAATGATTGATGGCAGCTCGGGCACCCAAGAGAGCATTTTTCGCTTCTGTAAATCACTAAAAGCTGAGCTGCTCCCCCTCGCAAGCCCGCCTGGCCACAGATCCCGACTGATGCCCCCAGGAGCTCCCTGGGATGCGACAGCAGGAAACACGCACCGGCTGTATCATAACTCACCGCCGGCCGCCTGGGCACGTGCTCCCCCACACACACTCCACCCAAGCGCTTTAGCGCTGACTTAATTATTTGACATGCAAGAGAGATGGGAAAGGACCCACTGCCCGACACCCAGAATCCACCCAGCACAGCTCCCCTCCAATAAATTACGGTTTGGAGAAAGAAGTGGAAGAAAGAGGAAGAGGAGGATGGAGACGGGGTGGTGATGGGCACCAGGACAGACCCTGGCAGCTGAAACCAGGGAGGTTGTGCCCAGCACTTTGGGGATCAGAGAGTTTGTACCTGGTTTTTTAGGAAGAGAAAACACCAAGCCAAGATTTAGGCCAGAGCAGGAGAAAACCACCCCTCGGACTCTCCCTTGGGACCTGCATGGGATGCAGCCTGATCCACACTATTTAATTAACACCTTGTCCCCCTCCAACCCACCCTCCTGCTGCCTCAGAAAATAACAAGCAAGGCACAAGCCAGAGGAAACATCCTTGATTAATCACCTTGATTAAAGTGCCAGAACTAAAAACAAAACAAAACATTAAAAAGAAAAGGAAAGGAAAGCACTTTTCCCATCTTGACACTTGATTTGGGTGCCAGGGTGTCACAGGAGACCCAGCTGCTCTAAGAGCTGGTGATGGGATTTTCTCTTCTGCAGAAGGAGTGGCTGGAGAAACAGAGGAGGAAAAACACCTTGTGAGGATGCTGGGACATTTTTAACCATCCCCCTGTGCCTCTCCACAGTATGTCAGTCCTCACTGGCCCCATCCTGGCCCCGTCCCTGCCAGGGATGCAGGAAAGCATCAACAGCGAAGGGACTTCAGCATCTCACCCATCCCAGGTACTGGCAACTCCAGGAGAAAATCCCCTTCCCCAGCCCACTTACCACCTCACCCCAGAGCCATCAAGTCCTGAGGAAATCCACAGGGACCCCAAATCCCTCGCCAGCACCCTCATCTCCCCTTCCCACACACAGCCCCCGCGGTGGCACGGGCAGGACCCGGACCCCCAGGCCAGCCTGGGGGCTCAGCCCATGGTCGCGGCAGCGATGCTCAGCTCCGAGCTCAGCAGGCCCAGCTCAATCATGTAGGCAGCTCATTACACTCTTTTAATAAGATATGTGCTAGTTTTACATTCATTTTTCATTTCTGATAACGTTCTGTCCTATATAACTGCACTATTATCCTTGGCGAGGTGAGGGGAAGAATATATTTCCTAAAAGACCGCCTGCATTAATTTTTCAGTAAGTGCCATAAAAGATTTAATCTCCAGCTCCTCTTTTGTTAATGGGATTAGTATAACTTATTTACTGATTTAATTAATTGACACGTGTTTCGCTCTGCTGAATACAGTGGTTCAGAAACTTACTGGTTTCGGCTGAGAATAACTGGGCTTCATTTCATTTTAGAGACTGCAAAGAGCATGTGCCTGTAAGCATTAAATTATTTAAATTATTTCTGATAGGAGGCATTAAAAAGAAAGGAGGAAGGAGCTTTTTCTCCCCTTCTACCTATGAATGTGGAGCATTGGCTGTACTACATCACTGTCAGTATATATTTGATAACAACAGTTGTCACTGCTGGTAACACCCTCCAGTGCTGGGATGGACTGGAGGGACCCGCCTGCATCCCACCCACTGCGTCCCTGCGTCCCTGTCTACGCCGCATCCTCCCCAAATGGGGTGGGGGGTTATTCCTTTATCCATCTCTCATCCCCTCTGAAGCTCAGGGCAGCAGTGCCTGGGGGCACGGGGTGCCCGTGGAAGGGTCCCAAGCCTCAGCCCCAGGGCCAGGGGGGCCCGCACCCCCCCCCGACACCTCTTCCATCGCTTTATATAGGTCACCCTGTGCTCGGCGGCACGGCAGCCACGCTTGCAGCGGGGGAGGTTGGACTTCACACTCTTGCTCTCCGAGCTGCTTTTCT